TGGGTCCTTCAATGGAGGAGAATGAGGCCTGCCCCAATGACAGAGACCGAGGCTCAAGTGCCTCCTGCAGAGGGCAACAACTTTTCAGTGTCCAATAATGTCACTTTAGAAATGATTCAACAGGCCCGGATTGATCAAGAAATCCTGACTCGTCTTTCTGCAGTTGAATCAGCACTCAATTGGATTGGCAAGTGCCAGGATGCATTAGTGACCTAACAATAGGCTGACCTGTGATCCTGGATTCACGAAGCTGTGTGTTACTACACTCCAGTGGAATTCCAGCCAATACTCCTGGAGTGATATTCAACATCACCTAAGAGAAGCATTCTCTATCAATCTCAAAGGACGAACTGATCAGTCCCAGCTTGACCTCCACCAGCAGCTCAGTGACACTGAAGGCCTTACTGAACAAAATGTGTTCCAGACCCTCCACAATAATCTACAATGTCTGAACCCTAAAAACTGGTTCAATGGACTGAATTTACAAGTTTGCATCATGACAGCCGATGGATGCCTCCTTGTCTTAATTCTTATTTGTTCTTTATGATGTATATGGAGGTTGTTTCCTCAAGATTGCATTCAGGAACATCAAATAGGTTTCACAAGCTTAACAACTACAATTGCTTTCACAAAGAAAAAAGGGAGAGAGACGAGGTTGGGAACCGCCCTGCCTGGTTTCAGAAGTTGTAACCCTCCATGGCTAAGGCTAAATGAGAAACCTTTGGAACCTAAGCCACTGGAGACAAAGGTTATGTCCCTGGCAGGAGCACCGTCTCTGCCCACCTTACTTGACCCTGCCTGGCCCACAGTGCATGACAGGTTAGCCAATGACAGGTAAGATTCCTCAAGGGAGGGATGACCTAAGACATGCATGGTCATGAGGGGGTCATCAGGGAAGGACTTGGGGGACTATAAAAAAGGGGGTGATGGACCCTCGCCCCTTGTCTTTGACATAGGGTCCCCCTTTGACAGAATGAGTCCTCATTCTGCCTGCAAGAAGTCTTCTAATTTCTTGGCTGCCTTACTTCTCCTGCTCGACCTAAGACTGAAACAATGCTGGAGGTGGGTGCGGCCCTGTGCTGGAAAGGGCAGGTTCCCCTGGGCGATCAGGCCCAAAAAGAATGCATAAAATCCTGTGAAACCTGCTTTGATAATACCCTCAATTTAAATGATAAGAGTCCAAGCCTGAAATAAGTTTGTTTCCCCAAAGTTTTATGGCCCTTTAGCTATCTGATCCTGACTCTAAATAAGCCCCCATAGTTCTTTGAATGTTATCTATTATTTGATCATTATTGCCTGACTATGATTAATGGGCTTAATCTGAGAATGTGGGTCTTTCGAGATGCTGGATGGTTACGGATAATAATGCTCTGTGTACTTTGACATATTTACAAATTATTTTCCCAGGGTCATGTCAGAGACCAGCAAGTAGCAAGCTTTGTGGGGTCTACAGCGGGATCTATAGCAGTCCTAACTAAAAACAAGGAGGGAAATATAGGAGACCGTTTTGTGTGGCGTGAGCCCAGCCCCCACTCGGAAAGGCTAGTGGAAAGAGAGGTCCGGTACACATGACCCATGCCCACAGATAGGTTCTGCCGTGGGGAATCAAGCCTGCATTGTACCTAGGCTGCTTTAAGACTTGCTTTTTGCTAAAACTCTCTCACCCTGAATTGAGGCAGGAAACGTTTATTGCATGTCTTTTTTTTTTAAGTAATTCTAAATTGATTTCAGTGTCATCAGATTTTAAAAAAATATCTATTTTATTGATAATGCTACTACAGTTGTCTCATTTTCCCCCCTTCACTGCCCTCCACCCTGCACACACCCTCCCACCCACATTCCGCCCCTTTAGTTCATGTCCATGGATCATACATATAAGTTCTTTGGCTTCTACATTTCCCATACTATTCTTACCCTCCCCCTGTCTATTTTCTACCTACCATTTATGCTACTTATTCTCTATACCTTTTCCCTCTCTCTCCCCCTCCCACTCCTGTTTATAACCCTCCATGTGATCTCCATTTCTGTGGTTCTGTTCCTGTTCTAGTTGATTGCTTAGTTTGTTTTCTTGTTTTTGTTTTAGGTGTGACTGTTAATGACTGTGAATTTGCTGTCATTTTACCATTCATATTTTTTATCTTCTTTTCCTTATATGAATCCCTGTAACATTTCATATAATAAGGGCTTGGTGATGATGAACTCCTTTAACTTGACCTTATCTGAGAAGCACTTTATCTGCCCTTCCATTTTAGATGATAGCTTTGCTGGATAGAGTACTCTTGGATATAGGTTCTTGCCTTTCATGACTTGGAATACTCCTTTCCAGTCCCTTCTTCCCTGTAAGGTCTCTTTTGAGAAATCAGCTGACAGTCTTATGGGAACTCCTTTGTAGAGAATTGTCTCCTTTTCTCTTGCTGCTTCTAGGATTCTCTCCTTATTTTTAACCTTAGGTAATATAATTATGATGTGCCTTGGTGTGTTCCTCCTTGGGTCCAACTTTTTGGGGACTCTCTGAGTTTCCTGGACTTCCTGGAAGTCTATTTCCTTTGCCAGATTGGGGAAGTTCTCCTTCATTATTTGTTCAAATAAGTTTTCAATTTTTTGCTCTTCCTCTTTTCCTTCTGGTACCCCTATAATTTGGATGTTGGAATGTTTAAAGATGTCCTGGAGGTTCCTAAGCTTCTCCTTGTTTTTTTGTGAATTCTTATTTCTCCATTCTTTCTACTGCCTTTGGTTGTTTCTTTCTTCCTTCTGGTCCACTCTATTGTTTTGAGTCCCAGTTTCCTTCCCATCACTATTGGTTCCCTGTGGATTTTCCTTAATTTCTCTTATTGTAGCCTGCATTTGTTCATCTAATTTGTGACCAAAATCAACCAATTCTGTAAGCTTCCTGATCACCAGTGTTTTGAACTGTGCATCTGATAGTCTGGCTATCTCTTTGTCTTTGTCACTCAGTTGTATTTTTTCTGGAGCTTTGATCTGTTCTTTTATTTGGGACCTTTTTTTTTTTAACACACCTGCTATGTAGTAAGGGGCGGAGCCTTCTGTGTTCACCAGGGCAGGGTAACCCACGTTGCTGTGTTGTGATGCTGTATGTGGGGGAGGGGTCCAAGAGGGAACCATGGCGCTTGCTCTGCTCTCTGCCACATTTCAGTCACTTCCTCATCTACCCACAAGCAAACTGGGCCCGTGTGGTGCTCCTTCCTGGGTGGGTGGTTCTGTGTGCATTCTAGGACCCTGCAGGTTTCTCCAATGAACACTCCTGTGAGGCTGGGAGTTTCTCCCACTGCCGCCTCAACCCCCACAGGTGTTCTCAATCAGAGGTCTGAGGCTTTATTTCCCCGAGCTGGGGCCCTGGGTTGTGAGGTCTGTCTTGCTCCCCAATTGTTCCTCCCGGTTTATCTGTGCACAAATGTAGGACTGCCCGTTTCACCAATCACCGCCTCACTGGGTCTGCTAGCCGCCACCTTGCCCACCTCGGTCTACTAGCCGCTGCCTTGCTGCGAGTCCTCTCCACCTGGCTGCCCGTCTCTGCCCCTCCTACAGTCTGGATGGATGTTTCTTCTTTAACTCTTTGGTTGTCAGACTTCCATACAGTTCAATTTTCTGTCAGTTCTGGTTGTTTTTTGTTTTTAAATTGTTGTTGTCCTTCTTTTGGTTGTGCGAGGAGGCACAGTGTGTCTACCTATGCCTCCATCTTGGCTAGAAGTCTCATTTACTGCATATCTTTAAAGTAACTTCCTAAAATCTATACTAAACCTTCCAAGGATGAGTATAACCAGTTCACTTTTCCCTTTACATTTGCAAATACCCTTCTTTTGTGGTATAATTAGCAACATCCTCTCCTTTGTTTTCTGTAAAAGGTAACCATCTAAAGCAAACCTCTTCACAATAAGTGATGACCACCCTCAATGTAATGTGCCCAGAAAAACAATAAAAGCTTGTCAAGGCAAGGGTTAGGGCGTTCTCCCCTTGGAAGAGTGGTCATGCCATCCCTTTTCCTCCACAGCACTTGGTAGTCCATGTGAATTTTTCTCGCCTCAGCCACAATGCTGTGGACACTGAAGGCCTGTGTTCACATCACAAGGTAGCAAAACAGTATTTAAAAACAGAGTAAAAAAGACCTTCAAATGTATGTTTCTTCCAGCAAGTCAAAACATTATTCAATACATATTTCAATGACTCACTGCAGGGAGTGTAGTTAAATGGGACCTTTGAGTAAGGAATGCAATGTAGAAAAAAATTTCCCAATCTGAACAAATTCTGAGTAAAAACAAAACTTCACAAACTTCAGAAAGACCTAAGAATAAAACACAGTGGGCATGTTCCCAACATCACTAGAAAATATGCAATAATCATAGGTGTTTCAATAGATATTACAGATGAAGAAACTGAGGCCTATAGCATTTGCATGGTAAGTCAACTATCACAAAGCAAATAGCAACATGCAGTGAAGAGAAACTAATTTAGAAATTATTGGTTATAAATAGTGCATTAGTAATATATATCATGGTAGACTATTTGCTCTTCCCAGTTAACCCCTCCATTTTCTCACCTTTTCTCCTGTCTATCTGGAATGTTCTCCATCCCCATCACCACCTTCTGAAATCCTACCAGTTAGTTCTTTAAAACTCATTCCAAAGGCAACATCCTCCACTGTTCAGCATTCCTCAATTATTCCAGCTAGAAGAAACATATTCTAAAGTTCTTTAGTGAACTTTCTCTGCCATATTTAGAATCTGTCATCTCTTTTCATCTCCACTCAACTACAAACACCTTGATGGCAATGACAATATCAATCTTTCCTCCTAAATCCTCCAGAAAATCAAGTATTACACCCTACACAAGGGAAGCATCAATAAATGTATACAAAATAAAGAGGGAGGAATTGTTTCTCTTAGAAGCATCATGATTATTTTAATGTCAATATTATACAATAAAATGTTTACTGTAAAGTACAAAAATATTAATAGAAAAAGTATGTAATTTATAGCACTGACCCTTGGTGGCCCAATAATCATGCCTGTCCACCTTGTAAGTGTCATGTCTTCATCATCTTCAAGGCCCCAGCTAACCGTACCATCGCCTACTCCTTTTTGTCCTTCTTCAAGTTCTTCCAACAAGCGAAAATTACGAGGAACTTTAACTCCTATACAAAAGAATATCAGTGTAAATGCAAAAAGCTCACAATTAAAGCACTACACATACTCAAATGCAGCTTTTTACAAATTATAATTTCCCCAAAAGACAAAATTGCCTCAAAAAATTCTGCCCCAGAAAATGCTGAATCTAATAAACTTTCAAAATGAAAATGCTGAAGAAAGCACTGTACCAAATATTAACAGTATAGAATATGTATATAAATTTCTAATTAAACAATTTCATACTGACATAAATTAGTCATAAGGAAATCATATTAAAGTAAATAGTTGAGATTTCTTTTTTTTTAAATATAGTTCTCTGATTGCAATTTTTAACGGTTCCTATTTTGACTTGGTACGGAAATTTCAGTTATTCTTGCTAATATATATAGCAGGATGAATAACACCAAACAGTAGATAATCTAAAAATAACATATTTGCTTACAGAGTAGTAACTTTTTTTAGTATTTTTTTAGCTTGTGTTCCTACTAACAGAGGTTAATAGGAAGTGACATAGTTGATTGGAGGAAATTATAGATTATATGCTACAGCAAACTTATTTGCTAAATAATGATTACTATATGACTCTGGAGTGTATCTTTCCAATTTTGAAGATTAAAATAGACAATTTTCATGTATTTTATATATGAGAGAATATAATACTAAAATTCATCTTTTCATCTTAAACTTTCATATATATAACCTCATTAACATTTATGGTAAATTTATATAAAATGTTACATTTATTTAATGAGATTTCTGTTCCTAGCCAAGAACACTATCAAATAAATGGACATAATCAGAAAGTTAATGAAAGTTCAATTTCATTAACATACACTTTTTAATGATTTTTAAAGAATAGAATTATGTTCATCTTTTAAAAGGCACTAAAAGGTACTATTTTCTAGAATGCTAAAGCAGCCCTACCCACAATCCTCTAGCCAATCTCTTTCCTGTTCTCATTCCTAACCAATGGGGTCCTGTGTCTCCCATGGCAGCACCAGTACATACTGTATTTTTCATACTATAAGACGTAGTTCCCGCCCCCCACCAAATTTGGGAGGAAAGGGGGCTGTGTCTTATAGTCTGAATGTAGTTTACCTGGCTCATGGAGGTGGGGGCAGTGGCCTATGTTATTTATATGTTATTAAATATTTACTACATTTTTTGCTTCAAAAATGTTTTCCTATTTTCCTCCCCTAAAACCTAGATGCGTCTTATGGTCCAGTGCATCTTACAATCCAAAAAATTCAGTAATCATTAATACTCGGTAGGACAGTTACTCAATTTGAAAACAAATTTCCTAGTGCCTGCCCTTCACCTATTTGTCCAGAACCTGACAAATTTCACACAAGCCACAAACCATTCTCACACCTCCACTTCTATACCCTTTAACTTCATGGCTCCTTACTTTATTTCCAAAATCAACACAAGTATCTTCCTCTCTGCCTAGAATCTTCTAGCCTTTCAGTTTCCCACTCTGTCATTTTCACTAAATCTGGTCTTCGCCATCATTTTGGCCTCCAATCCGTGGAATCAAACCGTGACTCTTCCAATTTATCACAAACTTTCCTAGGATCACTGGCCTGGCCTCTCCAAAATATGGACCCTGTGGTTTCCTCTGATCACAACAGCATCTAACATCAAACACCATCCAGCCCCACTACACAAGTCCTGAAAAATTAGGTAATGGCTCTGAGAATCCTCTCTATCTTTGGCTCTGGTGGAAGCACGTGTTCCCACGCTCTCTCACTCCCTTGCACACACACACAAACAAGCGATTATGAAGCCCAAAGAAAGAAGTGATATCTTCTTTAAAGCAACTATCATTTTGTATAACTTCTGTCTCTTGCTGAAACCAAAACATCTCTTAACTTGCTAGTTCACAGTAATCCTTCTACACATATAATCAAAAGCCAGTAAGCACTTAACTTAAAAACACTAGTTACTTTATGTAGTAACTTTATGTGCTTCATAAAAAAATGCTTGAAAATCTTGGGCCACAGAAATATGGAACTGTCATAAATCACAAAAACAAGAGTAGTCATTATTATAACTAATGTGATTATTAATAACTGCTTAGCATACATTGTATGTTATTTTAAATAAATTATCCCATCTAATCCTAAAAGCACTCATTCTACAGTAGTGGCAACTCAAGCCTGCAGAAGTTATGTAACTTGCCAGTTTCCAGATTCAAAGTCACTCTTTTAACCCTTAAGTTACATAGCACTACAAGCTACACAGACAACATATCCTGACACAGATCTAGGAGTCAGACTGCCCACGTGACATGGGACCTCAGCAGTTTTCTCATCTGTAAATGTGAAATAATGATAGTTCCTACCTCACAGAAGCACTGTGAAATTTATACAAGGTAATCCACCTGAAACAATAAATGATGGCTATGATCATTTTAGTTTCCAATAATATTAAGTAGAATTGCATAAAACTTCTACTTAACTTTATATAAATTGTGCAAGAAATAAAAGCCTTTTGTACAATCCTGTAGGGTGACCCCTGGGAAATTTTACGCTAAGCTGTAAATTTCTATTCACATAACACTGATGACTGCTATTTGCTATTCAGTTGCTTTTTAAAGTAATCTTATATGAGCTTGATTACCCTTAACATTATGAAGTCATTCCCCAAGAATAATTCTAATTTTTTTGTGTGTGAACAAAAATTTATTCTAAAAATGGATCTCAGTAAAAATGAAATACCAAAAACTGGTTATTATAATAAAAAGAAAAAAGATACTTGCTTTAAATTATTTTCTAAAAAATACAGTCTCATCATTATAATATACTGCCAACTATCATTTACCTGTATCTGAATTACTGATTTTATGGGTTGTCCAAGGAAATTTTAAAATCATTGACTGGATTCTGCCTATATAGATATATATCTGGATTGCATTTGTCCTCAAGTAAATATATTCTCAAGTACTGCAAACAAATTGGATATTTGATTAAGTAAAAATAATTAGAAAGATAAATTTATGCTTAGGAAATGTGCTCCTCCAAAGCAAAATACTGGTTTGCATCACCATTTCCCTCAATTTTTGTGCATGACAAAAAAAAAAAAAAACAAAACCTGACTATACTGAAGTAGTGGTATTTCAGAGTAACAAATTATACAACTTATCTGGTGAGAAAAGACATTAACTAAATTATTTCACATTCAAAACACATTTGAAAGATATATAATGACATTTAATATTAAAAAAGTGGTTTTGTATCTTCAAGGTGCTAAAGAAACAATTACTCAAGAAAATTGCAGGCCTGTCTACAAAGTTCTAAGTGATTTGAAGTACTGAAATATCAGGAATGTGGGGACAACAATTAAATTTAAACTTAAACTTCAATTAAATTTAAACTTAAGTTTAAACTTAAACTTAAAAGGCTTCCATTACTATAAGGTATATCTTAAGTATATTTTGCAAAGGTATTAAAGTAGTAGTTGAAAACAGTACGGCTAAGTTGGTAACATACAACTTACCTATCAGCCCAAATCTTGCTTCAAACTAATGTAAATACATGCCTTTCATACTATTTCCTCCACAATGTCTATGTCACACACATCCTGTCACATGCATATTTTAGACAATTTTTATCACCCCTATTCACTACATCAATTGGCCATAATGCAGAGTGAGTAGAAATTATCCTTTTATATCAAAATTCTTGCTATGATATTCTCTGTAAACCAAAAACTGATTGCAAAAGTTACATATAGTCCTTATTGTAGCCCCATGTTTACTAGGACATTTTAGCTAATTTTTAGACTATTAAAAATTGGTGTGATTTACTTTGACCAATCTAAGACAGAAATATTATTGAGGGATCCAAGATGGTGGTGCACTTGGTGGGAGTTACATACACCTCCTCCCAGGACAAAACTGGAATTACAACTAAGTTATAAAACTATCAACCTGAATAACCAATTGAGGACTAGGTAAACAGAAGTGTTCCCTGTATCCACGTGCCAGGGGTTGAGAATCTGAAGGGATATCTCAGCTGCAAAGGTTTCCCCAAGAACAAGAGGTCTTAATCCCATGCTCAGCTCCCCAGACACAATCACCAGAGCCAGGAAGAGGAGCCCACATAACATATGGCTGTGAAAATCAGGGATTCTATCTGCCAGGGACAGAAGGAAGTCTGCATGAAACCCAGGCCCCCTCATAGAGGACCACTGCACAAAATCTCATTCACTGTCACTCATTCCAGGCTCTGTGAAAGACAACAAAGAGTAGACTGGAGTCATGTGAGGACAGACTGGGCTATGTGGTTCCAGGGGATCTCTGTGCTGAATCCCTCACCCCTACTGTACAAAGGCGCCATAATTCCTGGACAGAGCACTTCCCTCACTTAACATCAGCCTTGGAGGATTCACTAGCCCCACCCTCCTACCTGTCACCCACCCTGCTATGCTCACAACCTTCAGCTGCCTGCACCAGTGGTATAAACTTTCCTAAAGGAATCTTGAAGTCCAGGTGTATACCTGGGGTGTCAGAGACTGAACTGTGTGGCTCTGGGGTGGGGACCATTTTTCCCTCACACACCTGACTGACATCACCATTCCTGTACAGATCCCTCCCTTCTCACAGTGCAATTTTGGTCTGTTTTGGCCTGAGGAACTTTGTGGTCCCACCCTAAAGTATCCCTCAGACCACAGCCCACCATGAAACTCAGCAGGCACCTGGCAGGTGGCAGCTAGCCTTGATGTATACTGAGACTTTTGCTGAGAGGCCTCATACTCAGCATTGTGAAGCTTAAATCTCTATCAATCCGGTGAATACCACTCACCCCTACCTGATAACTCACAGAGAATATACCTCACATAAATTGTGAACCATGGGAGGCTCTTTCAGCAACTAAACCTAGGAAGTAGACAGTATGTGGGGGCAAATCTCAGGGTGTCTTGAGCTTTTGGGTCATTTGCTCTAGATTCAGCTCTAGGCTCAGTTCTAATAGAAGGTAGCTTGGCCCCTCCCACAGGCACCCAG